ATCTTATTGTTAAAATGATAAATTCTGAGTAATTTATACAGAACACACCAAAAATACAGATTTGAGTCAGCTTGATCAAAATAAACCTCAGACATAGCATTTGCTTTTTCCTTTTATGGTCAGATTCTAGACCTTTGGAGCACATGCTTTATTACAGCCAAACTCTTTGAAGCATGAACAAAATGATGAGTTTATTTAAAATAGGGACTCAGTCCAATGAACCACTTGACTCGTGTCAGAAAGGACAGACTACCACCTCAGAGAACTATATCACCAGTTAAGTCCGTCCTCCTAAAGTATCCGTGTCACAAACATCTGACTTCCTCCAGCCAAGTTTCAGTGACATTGCATTGCTGTGGCACAAGGAAAGGGGGGGGGGAGAAATAAATAGTGAAATTTAGAGGAGGTGCTGACTTCGTGTTCACTTGGACACAGATAAGGCTGTTACTAAACAAGGAACGGCTGACATCCTAAGTTCCCATTAACCAGCTGAAGCCTGCAGAGGTGACAGTCATATAACAAAGTACTGGCTTTGAAAAGAAAGGAGGCCTGAGGCTGAGTTCTGGAACAAATTCCTAGCCTGACAGGGACTTTTTAGGAACCTGGACAAGCAGCTGCGCTGCCTGCATGTCAGATTCCCACCCATAGGACGTGTTTTTTTTTTCTCTGCCAGATTTTCTCTCTTCTACTTCAACTGTAGTGCTCAGGGTCAGGCTCAAGCTTCTTAACAGTAACAAGCACAACGAGACCTTGATCTTGCTGAGGATTGCTAGGGAATATAAGAAGGAAAAAAATGATGATGTCAGCATTTCAGTGCAGGATGTGGAGCTGCTTCAGAGAACTGCAGCTACAAGGCAGCATGGAGAGCTGTACAGAAAACTGAGAATAGGACAATGTGAAATGGAAGTAGAAATGGCTAGACTAGAAAAATACTGAATTTATTTTTACTTTGTAATGTTCAAACCTGAAACTTGGCAGCCATAAAGGGGGTTGCCAGGCAAATCTATGCTAAGGATCAATGTGTAAGCCAGTCCAATCCTTTTGAAAAGCATCTGCACTACAGAGCGAGTGCTGTATACTCTGTCTGCATACGCCTACCAGCTCTAACACATTCTGGATGTGCCAGACTCGTTGCACATGCACCGTACAATTCCTTCGCTGTGCAAGCAGGAAACCCAGCTTGTTCTGAGCATGATGGACTTACGCTTATGCAGCACACCTACGTAAGACCTGATGTTTCTTGTCAGAGCCAGAGTCACTGAGTTTGTACGGCATAGCCAACTCACAATTGCACAGTGAACACATCTGACATTTCTGCATGTCTGTAAATCTTGTCAAAATTTCTGGAAGAAGGTTGCATCCTTTACAGCAGGCCTATCCCTGGAATTTTGTAAGATATTATTGTACCTAGCCAATATAAATCAAAAAACTCTTTGCAAAACCCCAAAAGACGGCCTACTCCTGTAAACTAGAAATGCACTTCCTACTGAAAAATATTTCTCAGCTGAGATCTTGGAACAGTATTCTGTTTTTTGGAGAGCTGCCAAGCATATAATGCATGTAAAACCAACATCCAAAACCGCACAAGGTTCACAGCTGCTAAAATGCTGAAATGCACTTGATCATTAATCCTGACACACCCAGCCCAAAAATCAACTACTCTGACCTCTTCCACTGGCGTCCAAAATGGACAGCTCAGCCTCTGAAAAAACCTGTCAGATGAAAAAGAACAGTATCAGTTAGTGTGACAGATCCTGAAATATTTAGGCGGTCAGCATTTACGAAAACTGAAGTTTAAGCGAAAAACCTGACTTTAATATTATAATTATTGGATTGAGGACACGAACAAGAATTACTTACACAGCTAATCTTGGAAAGGTAAAATTAGGTGCATGTTTAAGTTAATTCTAAAAAGGCTAAATGTTGGAAAAGCAAGTTTTATTTTGTTCAAGCTGCTAAATACAGGACCTGTTTACAGGTATCGGGACAAATTTCTACCAACAGTTCTATAGTCTGTTCTGCTATTACATCCACCCATTCCACTCTCAACAAGAACAGATTTAAAAATATGCCTATTTTCTAGTAAGCTTAGGTGACCAAGTATGCAGGATTGCAGCTAATGAAGTCATAGAAGCAGAAGATCTATGGTGTGGATGTGCCACGAGGTTTTCTTTGCCAATATGTGCATTAAAATCTTGGACTTGAATTACATTAGAGAATTACTAAACCTTGGGACAGAGCTATAAAACTTGTCTTTACCGTCTTACTGAGCATCATCACTAGGCGAACAGTCAACAACTCTAAGCAAAAGGACTGAATTACCTTCAAGTCAGGTAATGCTCCCTTCCACTGATTTGAACCAATCTTCCAAACAGTTCCTACCCACATAAGAGAATGAGCTCCCTTATATAGTTTTCCTCTAGGAAAGATGAAGTCTCTTCGGTTTTACGATCAACTTAAGTAGAGTTCAACAGTCAGCCTGTGGATAGTCTTATGTGGGAAAACACAGACAGCCATGCTCTTACTTCATTTAGAAAGTTGAAGCGAATTGCTTGTTTTTACAGCATGTGTTGCATTGCTGTGGGGATATCGTAGAGAAAATTTATTTGCTCCTTTTCTGTATTTTTTTATTTATTTTTATTTTTTAATTTTAATCCCCCAAACATATAAGCTCATTACCTGATAAAAAATAGGGTGATATTTCTATTCTTGTGCATTATAGAAGAAGAATCAAATAAGTGAGTTAAAAATATCATCTTGGTTCATCCACTTCCCAACACACCTGCTGTTCTCCATTTCAGTCGCAAACTCTTCCAGGTCAAAACTGAAATCATTACTAGAGAAACCAGAATGATGAAGACATCGAGCTGCCAGTTTCTAATGCAGCCTTACCAAGTTACTGTCAATCAGCGACTGTAATTTGAAAAAAAAGCATACAACACTAAAGAAATATTAAGAACAATTATCTTGTGTCCAATTGGAACGTTAGACCTCTAGACAGAAGGGTTCATTCCTTGCAGCCTGCCAACATTTTAGTAAATGACACTGGCCCTTTAACAGATGGGATACATGCTTCTTAGCTTGCCAGGATCCTAATAAAAGACACTGGCTTCTTTAAAATGAAGGACACATACCTCTCAAATTGCCAGTATCCAAATTGGGAGTCAGCAGTTTAAAATAAAGGCACTTATCAATCTGGCAAAACCAAGGACACGGCACAGAAATTTTAAAACAAATGGTACAAAGTTTCTCCTGACATTACTTAACTTAGATGAACTAAATACTTAAACACTGGCTAAGTGTATCCAGTAGCAGCACTGTAGCAACTGGATATCTTACCAGTTTTTAAAACAGTAAATATTAGCAGAAGACTTCATGGGCTGGGGTTTGGATTTATTTCTTTTGCCATCAAACCTGCTAGCAACCACTTGTATGGTTGACCATGCGCTGCATGACTCGAATGAAAGTAGGATGTCTTTTCCCTGAGCACTGATCAGCACCACACAAGCTGGCCCGTGTGGAAAGACTCTGCCTGCCCAAAAGGCACCGTATCTGCTTCCATTCCATCTCCCAGGAGCAGGATGCTCCAGTGAAGGAAAGAGACCTCCGAAAGCTTTCCTCATGCCCTGAGAACCCATACTACTACAACTTGGAAAGTTTTACAGCAACTGCAGACACCTCGAGAGCCAGCAAGTACGAGCTCTTCAACTTTTCTGGTAGCAGCCATCAGAGGGAAACAAAGACCTTCTTCAGCATACCATGAAGCGCATCTGGATGAGTTGGGGAAGGGCAGAGAGGAGTTTGCTGAGCTTTGTCAGCACTTACAAATTGTCACCAGTTCCTGAAGGGCAGACATGGGGGAAAGCAGAAAACTACAAATTCTCTTTGCCTCTCTGTTTAGTCTGGAGAAGAGGAGGCTCAGGGGGGACCTTATTGCTCTCTACAATTACCTGAAAGGAAGTTGTAGGGAGATGGAGGTCGGTCTCTTCTCCCACGTTATGAATGACAGGACAAGAGGGGATGGCCTCAAGTTACGCCAGGGGAAATTTAGGTTAGGTATCAGGAAAATCTTCTTCACAGAGAGGGTTGTGAAGTATTGGAACAGGCTGCCCAGGGAGGTGGTGGAGTCCCCATCCCTGGAGGTCTTTAAAAACCGTGTGGATTTGGTGTTGAGCAACATGGTTTAGGGACCCTGACAGTACAGGGTGAATGGTTGGACCCGATGATCTTGAAGGTCTCTTCCAACCAGACGATTCTATGATTCTATGAAAGATAACACAGTTGCTAAGAATGGGCATGAAAAAGGAGAATTTTATGAACAAGACAGAGAACCGGGCTTATTCACATCAGTGGTTCCTTTCAATTCAGTCTCAGAGCCTTACCTCAGAAATATGGCAACTCACAGCTGGCACACACCCAGCTTCTTGCCTTGCCCATTTCACCCACCCCACTGCTTGCAGAACCCTGCCTCTTCAGACTGATTTTAACCATTTGAACCTGCTTTGTTTCTGGTGTATACTGGCATACCCAGCATTTGTTGAGTAGATATTTCTGCAACACATGGCTAACCAGCAAATGCTGTGCTGAAAAAGTACAAAAACTACCATTTGATGGTACAGTCAGCTGAAGTCAAAGAGGTCTGAAGTGCTGGAAAACACAGCAGAGGCTGTCAGGAGAGAAGGGAGGAGGTTCTCAGATTTAGAATAGTAGAAAAAAAAGCTACTAAGTCAGCTGTCTTGAGAACGGGCAGAGGTGAACCAGGTTTTGAAGGAACTGATCTTCATCAGTTTAGCAGGAGTTAGGATCTGAATAGCAGCTACCATAGTGAAACGCACAGAAACTGCCAGAGACTGGCCTAAAGCTTTCCACTGCCTGGACCTGACTGCCAACGGGCATGGACTGGGACATCTCCAGCCACGCTGGCTGGCTGTCCCTTCGAGTAAACCCTTGCTTTGAAGTTTTTCATCTGATGAACAAAGATGCTGCCACCATTTACTCACCTTTCACGTTCATCTTTCATTTTCTCCAACTCCTCCTCTTTAAGCATGCCTTGCTTTGAATTCCCCTTCTGATCTGTTTTCCCACTTTTATCTTCTTTTTTCTTTCCAAATCTGTTTAAGATATCAAGGAAGGAGTCAGGAGGAAATAATTACTAGAAGTAAAAACAGTACTTATCTACCATAAACCACAGAAATTTTAGGCAATCAAAACACTGTGAGTTTTTATCTTAGTCACTCATAAATTTGCCACACTGCAAAGTATGTCACCAGTATTAAACGAGCCATTTGCAATAGGAAGGACTCTGTACTTTTGAAAGCTATTGCTTTAAACAAAGTCGAAAAGCCCCACCAAAGCTGAAATGCAAGGCACTGCAGGGCTGGACTACAAATACAGCACATTTTGAAGTGGCTGAAGGTTCTTCTTACCACAGGACAGCTCTCAAAGTAATCTGCAGCAGCTGTGGTGTCAGGCACCCAGACTGGACCATGCTTTTAGCGGTAACTTGTCTCTCATTTATGTCTGGCCTTAATGTAAAGATTTGCTCTTAGTTTAAATGAGAATGCAACTGGAAAGAACAAAATCTTGCTATGTTCTGAGAGCACAAAACTAGGCAGTTCATAAGAACTCTTTTTAAAAGTACTTCTGGGTTTTTCTTTCTGACCAGTAATTATCATGTAACGTTTATGTTGTGAAAGTGCTTCAGAGACCCCAATCATTCTAGGGGTCCCACTGTTCTATACACTGTACAAATATGCATAACTTAAGTCTGCTTTACACAGCCTGTAAAAAGGCGACTGAACTGGGGAGCTACATTTCATTTCTGATGGAGCTAGACAGAATATTGGGGTCAAGTATGTCAAATATGCTCATGAATTATCAGCCAAAAAGTATAAAAACCTTCTCTCTTCTTCCCCAATTTGAAATTCTCAGTTCCACAGGTAAGTAAACAATCAATCCGTGTCTTCCCACGTAAATTAATGTGTCCTTGCATGCATCACAACAATGTAAAAAAAGTAATGATTTATTCATTACACATACCATATTGCTAATTACCCTGACTCAAAACTGCAAACTCCTCTGTGAAAGTCTGCAGCATTGCCTCGGTTTTTGCCTCTTTTACCCTTTCTATTTTTCATGTCAGCCCAAACTGCCTCAAGTGGAATAGCTGAACTACTGTGCATATACTTAAGCTGTAAATCATTGATTTTAGGTTTCTCCTCTGACCAAAGCAGAAATCTTGCAAATACTGTCAGGCTCATACGTTAACGATCCAAATTTTTTGTGAATTTAATCAATAATTCTGAGCTTGTGGTCAAGTGAAGTTCTTAGGGACTCTGCAGCAAGTCTTCCAGACAATAAGAACTTGGTTAGAAAGGGAATGATGGGCATGAGAGACTGACACATAGCATGTGGTGCTAATGAGAGGAAGGACAAATTACACAGGTGGTAACATGAGATGCTTTATTGTGGCCCTGCCATGGACTGTGCTAGGGAACAGGAAGAGCCATATCTCAGTGCGTGGTTTTCTCTTCCTTCTTCTTATGTGTGGTGATAGAGATTGATGGTGTCTTACATTCTTTGAGGGATCCTTTGATCAATATAGACATACATCTCCTCTACAAACAATCTTCAATTCTTTTTATGGTCCCTATTAATTTCAGTGCTTCCAGAAAGACAGATACTTTCCGTGCTTTTGCTTTCCCTGGGTATAGAGCAGCACACTGATTTCGCTGGTGCTTTCCAAGTTCTAGCAGTCCCAAGAGACTGTGGAGCCACAAACCCCGTCAGAGGGTGGTGGTGGCAGTGAAGGAAGCAGTCGGGAAACACAAGAGAAAGACAGAGCTAGTACGTACAGAGTGAGAAGATACAAAGTGAGAAGGGCCCATAGATACGAGACGACCTTGGTGAAAAAGAAAAACTAGATGAAATTTTGCATATATTGCTCTCTACAGAGATGTCAGGCAGCCAAACAATAAATCGCCTGGGGATGAGCACCAGCCGGCTGCACCTGAAACATCCCGGCTTCCTAACACTTGCACATGCTGAGAAGGTCTCATGGCAGTTTCCTCAAGAGACGCTGTATTAGCACTTGCATCTTGGTCATAATTCAACTCCGGTACTTTGTTTATATTCAGGCTGCCTGCTTTTCTCCCACAGTTTCAATTATGGGTTTGTGGAGTCTCATATTCGACTGTAGTATGTATTGATTTTGAAAACATTATTCTTGGGCATTTTGTATTGCTGCAGGGAGTTGAAGTTGGATATGTTGCATACTCGAGAGAAATGTAAAAAAAAATAAATCTTTAACATACATCCCTTTCAAGTCTAGGTATTATTTCTTGCTTACTGGGGAAATACATTTTAAACAAAATAAAGTGACAATTTTGACTGTAGTAACTGCCAACATGGCAACTCTCAGCAAAAACAGTGCTGTTTGCTGGTAGAGATGCTCTTGCCATAATATTGGCAAGTTCCAGGGTAATTATAAACTGGGAATAGTGAGTTGGTCTTGTGAAAACAACTTCTGTTTTTTTTTCTATTTTTAGTTTCAGATGGTATCTGTGCAGGCTTACCATTTTTACCTGTTACGCTAAGCACAGAGCATATAGCTCAAAGCTAGGGAAACATTCAAAATTTTGGCCTCTTTTGCACGTTGCTATACCATAAAAATCCATTCTCTTTTTATTATTCTAATATGCTTTTCAGTTCAACAAAAATCTTGCACAAACATTAAAAATAAAAGCAGCAAAAATTTAACATTGTTAAAAAAAGCAATATAGAGTAGACAGTATTCAAACCACAAAAAAACCCAGTATAATCTCTGCCTGAATTTATGCATCTTGTCCTAAAATTTATGGTCTGCTCACTGATGCTTTCTAATTGCCATGGGCTTCTGATGATAAAATTAACTTCCACCCATTGTAATATTGCATGAGTCTGTGGTTATCTACTGCTTATAGGAACAAAACAAAAAAGAAGCAAGAGTACTTGTTGCCCAACTGGGTTTGATCATGTTCTCATTGATACTAGTGTGAAGCCCTCCACTGATTTCAATGAGGACAGGCTAACATCCATTGTCAAAATTATAATATAGAAGTAATCAAATCCATATTAAAATTCTATAAAAACTGAATGGCTTTAGGATTTGAAGTTTCCAGTTCTCCAGGAAACAAATAATTGGATTGTGGTAAAATCTGTCTTCCATAGTAATATTGTTGTCAGAAGAATAAAAACATTAATGAAAAAATGTATGGTGCGCAATTTTAAAAGGTCTGCTTTGCTATAATGTGCACAGCAAAAAATTCTCTTCAACTTAATAACTGATGAAATTTTACTCTGAAAGCCTTATGTAGCAAATGGAGAAATATAACTAGAAGATCCGAAAACAAATTGATCAGCTGTATACTCTCATTCTATATCCATCTATAATCAATTTATGTCAAATGAAGCCACTTGTAATCACAATGACAGTAAGGAAATAAATCCGTGTCTTCCCAGGTTGAGTGACTGCCCCAGTTCTCTGATTATTCACTGTAAATGCCTGGGAAGTACTGTTAAAGAAGTTAAAGCCCTAATAACCTTAATATACTTTTCAGTTGAAAAAAATAATATTCCAACTACTCAGAGCATAGTCCTCCTGTAAACAAAAGCATAAAGGGATTTTCTGTATGAGATTAGACCTCCAAGCCCGTATGCAACAGTTGCAAACATGCTGTGCAAGAGTGAGGAACTATCCTATTCCTGTTAATTTCAAAGGGTGCCCTGCAAATAACTAATTTTTTTCCCCTTAGAAGCCTTAAACTAACAAAGTCTCTGAATATCAAATGTGTGTTGTCTTCTTGCAGTATTTGTTACCATTCTATAAGCTATAACATTAAAGGATATGTATACTTCTTTTCAAGGCTTTAAACAAACCTCCTGTAGACCTGCTCTGTTATACTTGGGATAAATGTGTTATATGCAAGACCTAAAGCTGTGGTCATGGCAACACTTCGTTTCCGTGTGGAGCTGTAAGCTTCCAGATCTCAAATGTGTTGATATTTGCTTCAAGGATTAAAAAGCAGGCAGGTCTATAAAGTCCCAGACTTCTAAGCAGGAAAAACATCTGGTGGGTGGAACTCTAAGCAGCTTGGTGACCAAATTCAGCAATTTGGATTTCTTAGTTCATTCAGTTGCCCTGGATCAGTAGGTGCCACTGCAGCTAACAGGGTACATAACAGAACTGCAAACATCTGCAGGGCAATAATTCAAGAGGGCATATGACACATTCAGGCAAGATGCAAAGCCTAACAACGTCATAAAATCTTGACACCTCCAGAAATGATCTCTCAAAAAACTGAGTGATTTGTAAAGTACATGTAACAAAAGCTCTGGCTCTTAGTCATTTCACAGCAAATGGGGAAAAATGCCGAGATTATTAAAGCAGCTCCCTTATGAAAGACTAGAAATAACCCTTAAAATTAAATTTAAATGTGAGTAAGAATGAATGAGTGAGCAAGCAAGATAAAGATACTAATAAGGTATGATTTTCAGGTCCACACAGGGACTATAAAAACCTTATTAACTGCCACTACTGCCGTGTGTTTTAAGTTATTTTATCACTCAGCTTTACAGCAGAAGAAATACTCTAGAAGCAGTGCTGTGCTTTGATTAATCACTTTCATACACACACTTTTACAGAGTATTAAACACTGCCGTAAAGATCCTTGGTGAGTCAGACTTGTTGGTGATTACAGGCCAGGCTCATTTTACATTTATGTTAATAGCAGCATTAATGAAATACATCTTTTACATTTTTAGTGGCTCTCTAAATACCTAAAAGGTTTGTTATTAAATGTTTACTTATTGGGCGGAAGTATATCATTGAGGACTACATCAGTGGGACCAAGAGCTTTGCGACAGCTGAAAAAAACAGCAGAAAGAAGAGAACATGCTTTGGTAAATCATGTTTCAACATTTTGAGAAGGGAGCGCACACAGCAAGAGCTGGGCAACACTGTTCAAACCTTCACCAATATCCAAGAAGATGAAAGTACCTCCAACAAAACGAGCTAAGCTTCTGGTGAAAGGGCAGCTCCGCGCAGAGCCATGCGAGCCAGGAGGGATGAGAT